ACATATATATATATACACATGTGTTTCGGGTTTTGCCGGGGTCTGTGCTGTGAGCTGCTGTGCATCTTGCAGAGGCCTTGCACGATGCAAACTTAGACTCGGAGGCTGGTGGTGCCGTGGCATGCTATCATATAATATAATATACTCTACTATGCTGTAATATGTTTTAATGTCTTATAATATATTATAGTACATTATAACATACTATACTAGACTATGATATTCTATAATATACTATAATCGACTACACAATACTTTATATGGTTGCAGAGCTGGAATAAGTTTTGAGGCAACAGAGACCTCACGTGCCATGCTAGCAGAGGGCGTCCAGGGCCTAAGCAAGTTCTGTAAGGACTTCAAACGAGTCTGTGGGAGACAGCGATCGATCAACCTTTGAGGCCCATGCTGCGCTGTCAAGCATGGTGGAAGATCGACATCCCATGCAGACCGCGCAGCTTGCCTAAAGAGCGATAGATTCTTCTCCTTTTCGAGCGCACGTGATTCCACAGGGTCGTGAACTTCATCAAAGAGACCTTGGAAGACATTGCCTCAAGGCAGGGGACTCAAGCCCTGAATTCTGCATATCCCAAGGCAGGTATGCAGTCCGTGACAATCAGGGTATACGCTACACTTGCTTGTAGTGATGGTTCTGGATTTTGGAGAGTTTCAAAATGTACCTAGTCTGTTATAGTAGTTCATAGAATATTATAGTATATTATAGTATATTATAATGCCTTCCTGCCTGCTTGGCAGTCTGACGATGCTAGGCTTCAAGCGAAGGCCGAGGACGCAAAGAAGGCTTCCAGCACAGCGGAGTCAGAGCTCGAGGTTCAGAAGGCCTGACATTTAAATAGAGGGTTTAGGGTTTAGGGTTTAGGGCTAGTGTCCATGTTCTTTTCCATTATCCCTATATAACCCCTATACAACACTTATACAGCCCCTATTACATTATAGTAGTCTCCATTTTCTTTTCCAGTTATCCCTATATAACCCCTATACAATCCTTATACAGCCCCTATTATATTATAGTAGTCTCCATGTTCTTTTCCATTATCCCTATGTAACCCTATAGTGGTTGGATGCATCAGATCATGGAGTAACGCAGAAGCACATGGAAAATCACTAAAAGATGAAATGGAATTATCACGTAGGGTTCAGGGTGTAGGGTAGGGGTGCTGGAGAGTCGAATGGAAAGGAACATGGAAAATTTCACGAACATTCAAACGGCGGTTGCTTAGGAGTTATACTAGGAATGTACATACAATGGGGACTACCCTGTAGAGTTTTAGGCTTCAATGCAGAATCAAACGGACAATTACATGAATAATTCGATGGTAACTAGGATTATGCCCATGCCAGTCCCTCTATGGGATCCCCATAGTCGGCATTCTGATGCTTGTATGTAGCAAGAGGGGTGGCACAGAGAGACTCTAACCGTCCCGCCATGTGAGCTATAGTCTAAACGCCAAGTGCTGCCCCAAATAACCCCTTTAGATAGTCCCCTATATCATCTCCTATATAACCGCCGGAGTTTTTCCACTGTAGCTTATGTGGATCTATGTCTTGTATTTCGTGGCATATAGTCTACCAACCTTTGTGTACAATGACGGCCAGTCCTGGCGCAGGATGAACATGACAATGGGGCAGCAGGCGTACCCTTAACCCTAAAACCCTTGCTTTACTTGAAAAGGAGCCCTCCGCGCAAACAAAGCTTCGCATTAGGCGAAGTCTTGTGTGAAGCAACGAAGTGCTGACTCACAAAAAGGTTCTTTCTTCACCCCGGGACTCACCACGCTGTCAGCATGGGTGTTCCTCAAAAACCGGTCCTGCAGCCCCCAAAATGCCAGGGACTTCAACTAGAACCCCCTTTTGTGAAACGTCGACATCATGCATCTTGGAGTTTCCATAAATAGAAGAAAGCGTTATATACTACCATACACAAGAACTCTTGTTACATGGACTCCCAAGGAGAGTCTGACAGATTGTGGGAAAACCTCATTTGGTAGTTTCCCAAACTAAAGGGACCCCAATATAGACCCCGGAAAAACTGATAATCCTTATAACGGGGACCCCCAAAAAGCTACCCCCTTAATTCTGGGAGACACCCAACTCCGCTTGTGTCCTCACCCCATTAACCTCGACAGGCTCAGCTGCAGGTCGCTACAGACGAAGCTGCCGAGGCACAGTCCCGTGATGCTCCTGCGAGTCGTCGTCGCTGTCGTATAGTATGTCATATAGTATAGTTTTCATAAATGGGTCCCAATATACTCGAATCCGTGACTTCCCTTCATTTTTGAAAAACTCCGCACATACTTGTACATGAGAAGGAGGTCGTAGATCAGGTTATCAGAATGTGGGATCAGAATGCCGTTGAAAGATACCAGGCTGCGGCCTAGTTCCTGACAGTAATATTAGGACTTCCCTTGTTCCTCAAAGGCCGGGGAGGCCTCTTGCAAAGCCAGTCCCCATGCCCAGTGGCCCAGTAGTGGCTGACAGTAACCCATCCGTAATCCTCAGGAGCAGACCTGCTTCCCATGTAACCCGGGGTCAATCTAGGGTTTATAGTCCCCCTGTAGTAGATAGAATATGGAATTGACCAATTGCAGAATATCAAAATATACCCCATATTCTATCTACTCAAGGGGGACCGTAGGGTTTAGGGAAGGTATTGCCTTTCCGAGTCCAGCTCCTTGACCTTTCAGGCCAAAGAGAAGGTCACTGGCTGTGCCGAAGCGCTGGCGACCGCCAAGAAAACCCTCTCTGAGTGCGAGCAGGAGGGATCCACGTTGGCACGTTTTTCCCAAATTGTGGATCCCTGTGTCTGGGGGTGGTTCCGTCAAGCGCCATCAGACTTGCCGCGAAGAGGACTCTTGCCTTTCACACGTATTTGTAGCAAGAATGGGATCACGGTTTGCCAACAAAATCAAACCTGTCCAGGTATTCTGCCCATGTCTCTTCCAATCCCAGAAGCTAAAGATTTCGGGAGCTAGAACCATGTGGTTACCTCGTCGGTGGTCCTCGACTGTTCAGGCGGATGCAACTGTTGCAAGCGAGGAGTCCGTCTTTCTCAGGCCGAAGTGAGCCGCACCATGCCACACCTCAATGGGCCAATGAGTGGAACCCTTGTGCAAATTCAGGCAGCGAGATAAGTTGACCAAAGAGCAAGCCAAGCTCACGTCTGTCCCTGAGCTGCCTTGACACCTTGCTGCTTTTTTGGCTGCCCAGCATCTAATAGCCAAGGGACTTGAAAGGCCTCCTGCAGGCAGGGAGGTCACTTGAAATTTATTCTATATTCTGTACATTTTGTTTTCCATTCCCCTATACTGTATATATATATATATATACAATCCCTACATACCCCTGTATAAGACTTGCTGAATATTCGTCGCAGGGCCAGTCCAGCACCAGACTCATCAGGTGCTGATCGATGATGGTATCAGTGCTAACGGAAGTGCCAAGGAGGCAAAGAAGGTTTGTGACAAGCTCAGCTGGCATGTCTGGCACGAGAGGTGGGAGCTCTTCTGGAATATTATAATAGGGTATAGATTGGGGTTAGATAGGGATATTGGAAAAATGGAAACTACTATATTATAACAGGGTATATCTTGAGGATATATAGGGATAATTGGAGTGCCAGGCTACTGAAGCAGATCGCAAGCCTTGGGGGGGAGCCCGCTTTGATGGCCGCAGCTCCCCCCGTGCTCCTCAAGAAGACGGAGGATTTGGAACCACTTGAGGCCCTTCTACGCATGATCTGCCTGCACAGGAGCGCGCAGGATTCGACTCCTGTGTCCTCGACTCCTTGAAGGCATCCCGCAGCCCAATACCATTTGTCAAGATATGTTGTTCTCTGATGTAGGTTTTCTTTTGCGTGGCAGGGAAGACACACAATGCTGGGGGTCCTCTTTTGCACCCCATACTGCTAAGCTTTCAGCACACAGGAGGTCCTCCAAGAGCAGCTGGACAGCATCCAGAAGAGCCTGGACGAGGTAGCCGCGCAAGTCCGGCTCTCAGCCCTAGGAGCTCCCCAAACTGGGAACCCGTGTTAAGGCTATTGATAAGACTATGGCGATTCTTGGCATTTACAGGCTTGCAGGATGGTAATGGTTTTTACGAAGTACATGCGAGCTCCGTGCCTGCAGTGCTAAAAAGGTGGACGCGAAGCTGCCAGCTCCTCAGTATGTCAGATAGTTGCCTGGATGGCTCGCCCCGCTGCCAGTGCTATGCAGACATGATCATTAGACCTTCAGGCCTGAGAAAACTGCAAAAGCGGAAGAAACGGCAAAGGCAGCACTGCATGGTGGCAATTGTTCTTTGCAGTGGATATTCAGAGATGTTCCGTGCACCGTCCTTGTATTGTCCTGTGGCTCAAGTGTGAATCTGCAAAGATTCGATACGCCCCCTTGGATGGCGCCATGAAGGCGGGCAGTGTCGTTGACCTCTCCACGCCTGCTCATAAATCATGCTCGTCACGGTTTTAACTTTCTGGCTATATCCACAGTAGCTCCTCTTCCAGCAGGATCCCGAACATGGGGACTGTCAAGCCATGATTGTCATCTCATCCCACAGTAATCAAACCCTAAACCTTAACCCTAAACCCTAAACCCTTTGCAAACATCGGGATTCTCAAGCTCATCCTTTGGGCACATGATCCTTCGCACTCCTCTTGTTGCACCGGGACTGTCCAGGGGGTTAAAGCAAGATGAGCTCTAGTCTAAACTCCTAGTATCACCCTGAATCACCTTTATAATAGTCCCCTAGTAGCCCCCTAAATAATCCCCCTTCAAGGAGTTTAGATTATAGCTCAGATCAGACCTGAGGCCATCCTCTGGGGGCTCCTGTTTTGGCTGGCAGCTGCGCAGGTGACGGCTTTGGATAACACAGGGATTATAGGGGTTTAGGGTTTAGGGTTTAGGGGCTTCCCAAAAGTAAGGGTACCATTTTGGGTGCCCCCATAGTCTGTACTGTCCTTAGGAATTATGTTTAAGTTTTATTATAGTATAACCCTAAGGCAATCCCAAAAGTAAGGGTACCATTTTGGGGGCCCCCATAGTAAGGATCATAGTATTTTGGGGGTCTGTATTGGGGTCCCCCTGTTTGGGGAAACTACCATATCAGGGATTGCTATGCAGGCCTTTCAGTGGTCTTGCAGTGTTTGCGGCTTAGAGGGAAGGATGTCAGAAAGGATGATCCCATCTCTGGGACTGCCAGGCGCTATCCAAGCTCCATTCTGTTCGGAAATTGCAGCCCCAGCCTCGAGACAATAGTCTAAATATGTAGGGCTGCTGGCACGGGATTGTCTGAACCATTTTATATCATTGGGGTTAAATAGGGGTTATATAGGGGAACTTTTGGATGTGCTGGGATTGTGTTTCAGAGTCACACTGCTCTGCCCTACATACTGCTCCCATGGCATATCCAAGAGTTGGAGAGGCATCATTTAAGTAGATCTTGGTTTAGTTCTGTTCTGTTGCAACTTGGCCAAAAAACTTAACGGCTGGTAGCATTCCTCATTTCAGTGACATGGGTGTTTCCTCTGACTTTCGAGCTTCTGTAGAGTGGCAATCGCTAACCCATAGCCGCTGCGTATTGCATTGCCCTCGAGCGCCAAATCTCAAAACCCTGCACGCAGATCACAAGCTACACCCCAAAACCCAAACCATAGAACCCTACACCCAAACCCTACATTCGGCACCTATCCAAACTCCTAAGCCTGGAGAGGGTAACGTCTGCACTCCGTATCCATAGCCTAAAACCCATAAACTCTGCAACTCTGCACCTGTACTCTTTACATTGCAGTGAGAAGGATGGCAGCTGTCCGGCAGATGGTGCAGGCGCTTGCACCATGCCCAGCAAGGCCTGCGTTATGTCAGTTTTCAGCGAACTTTGGAGAGGATCTCCTATATAACCCTACTATAGTAGTTTCCATTTTCTTTTCCATTATCCCTATATAATCCCAATATATTATAGTAGTTAGTAAGGATCCATGGAGGATGCCAAGTAGAGAAAAGCTGCTGAAATCAGGAGGTGCGGTCTTTATGATGTTTTGGGTGAGTGTATAAAGGTTTCCCGATGACATATTGGTGGGCGCATCCAGGCGCGTCCTTTTGTGAATCTCTACATGCCAGAAAATGCAGGAACTTCCCCATGCACATGCAGGTAGTTTCAGGGTTCATGGAAAGAGCGTTGATCCAGTTGAGAAGCTTTGCCAGGCAGACGTGAACCACACAACGAACTGTCGGGCGCAAGGGTTTGACCCGGAAAAGCTGGGCTGCCAGACATGCCGCGTTTTGGAGCAGAGGCCCAGTGGCGAGCTCTTTGGGGTGTGGGATCAGAGTGTAGGCTTTGGGGTTTGAGCTTGAGGAAGATAACAAACAGGTGCCATAATTTGAATGTATCCTATGATCTTACAGCTTGTTTTCATCATGATATGCTTTGGACAACACGTACCCTGGCTTGGAGGGCACTGCCTGCTTGAAGGATTCAAGCGGCGTAATGGTAGGCTACCCAACCAGATACATCCACAAGGGGTCATGACTCGTAAATCAAAGTGTCATGACTATTTTCCTGATGATTTTCTTCGTCAAGACCGCTACGACTGTGACTCGGACCACTACAATCACCCATTACCACCACCATTGCCGGTACCATTTCCACTACCATTGCCACTACCCCTACCACTACCATTGCCGCTGATACTGCAAGCGTTGCCACTGCCACGGCTGCTGCCCCTACCACCTGCCCGACCTACACATCACTGAACTGCTCGCTGCCACCACTGCCACCGCTGCCACCGCTGCCACCACTGCCGCCGATGCCATGCCGCCCCTGCCGCCCCTGCGGCTATCAAGACGCCGATGATGACGACAGTGACGATGATGATCAGGACGAGTATCACTACGACTACTTCGCTGCCTCTAGAACGGTATTCGTCAGCATTGGTGTTCTTGTTGTTCTTTCAATTTGTTCTTTGTTGCTTACCGCACACATGCACACGCACACTCACACATGCACACTCCTGATGGTTCACTGATCCAGGATCAAAGAAAGCGGCGCTGATTCCAAGACCCTTGCTGCACAGTGCCTCGCGTGCTGCGAGGAGGAGATCTTTTGGGGTCCAGAGTGTGGTATACCATCAGCAGTGTAATCATGCCATCATAGTAGCATCAACCGTCTGAAAGCATGGTCATTAATCACCTCTGAAAGCATCATTTCTTCTCAAAAGTGATGGATGATGGCTCTTGCGCTCCCTTTTCTGCAGGAACCCGTGCTAGAGCTATTCCCAAAGGCTGGCAGCGAATTTCCATTGTGTCTCTCGAAAGTGATGCGTTGCTTTTTGCGGAGGATCTCGGAATCGTTTGCGATGACTTAGGATCTCAAAAGGATTGCGAGATTCTTTAGGCATGTAAGCGCATTTCGTAAAACATCTTTAGGTGCGTCCTACACCACTAAAAGTGACCACAGGGGGTATATATGTATATATATATACTTGGTATGTATATACACAAGCCCTTCTGTATATATATATATATATGTACGCACATATTTCTGTCATTGTATTTAGGAGTCTAGCCCAAACTGTAAGCGAGAACAACTGAGCTATGCCAGGCCAGGCTCATTGCTGATGCGTCGCAACAGGAACGAGATCAGGACATGGCCGCAGACTGTTGAAGTCAGAAACGTGATGTGATATGCTAAGCTTGATGTGCATGATTCTGGGTGAGAGCTGAGTACAACAAGTCGACCGTAATTCCCAAGGCACTCCAGGCTTGCAGTATTTGGAGAACTCTTGGTAGTATTCCCAGTTTTGGGGCGCGCTTCGTCCTGAGCGCATGTGAGCCGGACTGAATTGCAAGAGGACCTTCACGACTTCATCAAGCGGAAAGCGCCGCGCATCCGAAACCTGGAGGCCGGGCGAAGCCAGATCATCATTACAGCTATTGGTAGCATTGCCTTATTCATGGTCCCCTGGATGTAGCCAGGCCTGTACACAATCCAGCAAACTTGTTGTCGAGCGGTGAAGTGGCCTGTTCCTGTCGTCCTGCTGCCTGGCGTAGGACTGACTGACTGACTGACTGAC